AATTTGTTTATACACGCGATGCAAATAAATCCATAAAGTGTTCAAACAACCGAAGTAAGACTGACTCACTAGACAAGTCTCAACAACCATTTAACAAGTACCTTAAACTTGTTCAAACAACCGATGTAAGACTTACTCACTAGACAAGTCTTAACAACCGATGTAAGACTTACTCACTAGACAAGTCTCAACAACCGATGTAAGACTTACTCGCTAGACAAGTCTCAACAACCGATTTAACAAGTACCTTAAACTTGTTCAAACAACCGATGTAAGACTTACTCACTAGACAAGTCTCAACAACCGATGTAAGACTGACTCACTAGACAAGTCTCAACAACCGATTTAACAAGTGCCTTAAACTTGTTCAAACAACCGATGTAAGACTTACTCACAAGACAAGTCTCAACAACCGATGTAAGACTGACTCACTAGACAAGTCTCAACAACCGATTTAACAAGTACCTTAAACTTGTTCAAACAATCGATGTAAGACTTATTCACTAGACAAGTCTTAACAACTGATGCAAACACATCACGGAGTTTATCTTAATAACCGGTATAAAAACATCACTATAAGCTTGTGGATAATTAATTAACTGTCAGTCCACCAGGTGCGTCATTTGTTTCGTGCTCGATGATTTTTTGTAATCCATCGAACGTATCAGAATGCTATTCAATTTTAAAAACTTGACAGGAGAGTTATCTTATATAATAAATGTAAGGCTAATATTTGGTAGCGTCATGATGGCTCGTGTAAGATTACTTTATAAATACACACACACATATATGTACATTTATACAAGGTATCTGATGAGGATAACAGACCATAAACAGTAGAATATTTTTATAGAACTTATAGGAAAAAAACTTATCAGAGAAAATAATTAAATCATTTCTGGACGATATATGATATTATTTAGCTGACCAAACAAACCAATATGCTTCAGTTAACAGTGCTATTATATGTTAATAGTAAAAAATTATTCCACGTATTAATATCTCTTGGAAAATTTAACATGAATTTCAAGACACTTTTTTTCTTCTCAAATTCAGAATGTTTAGAGAAGAGCACTGATATTAACGGCAATGGAAAATACCGCTTAATAATGAGATTAAAAATAAACTTAATTGCAACGTTCTTTTCTAGTCCATTGCAGAACTTTTTACACAAATCTATCAGGGCCTGAATAAAAAAACAATACTGACAACATTTTCACTTGTATTCGCTTCTTTCCGGCAAGCAAATGTAACGGTCAGGTAGAACGTCTAATTTTAATTAATTATTATTTTTTTGACGATTTCTACAATGCTTCACTATGATTCAGGTAAAATTATAATGTATTTTATTTAGCACCCTTATAGAGAAGTTTTATATTAGTTAATACAAAATAAAATATACCACTCACCAACACCAACAAGGAGAAATATATTCAGCCAAACTTTCATTATTGAGGTTTCAAACTTGTTGGAAGGCTTTATATTACTTTATAGTCAGTTAAAGTAAAGTACTATCTTCTGTGTTCAATTGAATAACTACTAGCGGCGCGTCTTTCAGCTCCTTACATAGCGTCTGCCCCTGACCTAGTCTCGTACCAGAAAGTTACGAACACTAGCGTTCCTAGCGGTGAACCAATTTTATAATGGAGGGTGCTACATCCTCAGGTGTGTGGGTGGTGGCGGAGTCGATGCGTCAACATCTTGGAAATATAGTGCAATTTCTAACCACCCACCATCTCATTTTGATCTCTGACATTTTAAAGGTGACTACCAGTGAGTATAATAATCAATGAAATAGATTGCTTGAAAAGCTGACTAACATACAATGATAATGCTTTCCTAGAAACTGACACGAGGGATTATCCATGTATTCATATGACTGAGACACAAACAGTTATTTAAGATATTAGGAGTAACGAAGCACGCCCTGTCTTACCTGTCACTTGAAATAAATCCAGTTTAAAAGGTGTTTTCATACCGTGATGGGCGGTTTAGAAAAAGTATGACATAAAGATCAGTGCAATACATTCCCGCCCGTGAGTCGCCACAGTCCTACGCGTTAAAACACATTTAAGCGATAAATTATATACGTGTTTTCACTATAAAAACTTCTCTTTATTGATAGTAAAGACAGATAGACAGAGAGAATTTAATATTATTTCTTGTAATTATGAGAAGCTTTTCAAGGAACGTTACAACGTACCTATTTATCAGCTCCTATTTCAAGAACTTGTGTACGGTAGGTAATGCAAGCAGTTTACATATTACACAAGCTATTCAAATCTGGATCTTAAATTATATCTCCATCGAGCATTAAATCCACATCTCAATTTCGGTAGAAAAACACGATTTGTTATCAGTGTTGGTAAGCCTGAAGCATTAATTTACTTGGTAAATATATTATATGCAAGTCTTGTCTTTGGTTAAAACGGAATTATCAAAGTGAATTTGCATTTACTTTGTTAACTATTACAAAGACATGTGAAGTAAACATTTCATGGTGTTCTTTATAGATTTTACATAACACTCGCTAGACGGCATTATTAACCAACGAAGGAATCTTCAGACTTGGAAAAAGGTGAGCTAAACCTAAATTAAGCCTCTCATAACTGACAAAACCCTCTTTTATGAAATAGATTAACCTAAGTCCAACTAATGACCCTAACAACCAGTGGGTTCTTAATTACTCGACTCCAAAAACTATAATGGATAGAATTTTAGCCGTGGGTAATCTTGAAGAGCCAAATGTCTTGTTATAAAGATTCCCTTCTGACATGTGCAATTTTCGTGTTAGACGATAGGCTTAATCAATCTACATATTCTGGTTTCCAAAAAAACCAAACAAAAACGTTGCAATATGAAATAAAGAAACTGAAAAATATGTCGAAAAAAAAATATATATAAAATACTTTACCAAAATTCATATAATTACTGCAAAGTGGTTGTAAATATATCTATATATACTTTTTTTTCTATATATATTGTAGACAGTTAAACATAAAAAAAGCGTTAGTGCTGATGTAAAAGGAAAATATATATAAATACAACTTTTTTTTTCTTAGAAATTGTAAAGTTAATAGAATGAGCTATCTTTTTTTAAGAATAATTAAGATTGGATAAAATAGTGTAAAAACCGGTTAAATTAATACAGATGACCTCTGTGACCTGCTAAGGTCAACAGTCTTAACCTCGTCAACCATACAAGCGCTATAAACGGCTTACTTCCTTTAATATTTCGGTGAAATAAGCCCAAGAATGCCGTTCTTCAGCGAAGTATTTTACAATTTGTTGGGTCTTTCACTTTTTTTCTTGGGTGAATGGCCTTAAAAAAATTCCAACGACAGGCAGTAACATAGGTTATGGCCTTTATGGGGATGGAAGTAGGCCACCGTAGTACAGCCTAACTTAAAGCTAAGTGTGTCGAATTCTAGTCAAATCTAAAGACAGATGAAAATAAGGGTAAATATTTTATAAATATAGAAAGGTGACTGATAACAGAAACCAGTTGCTCTTTATCTGTTTGATATGTGCCTTTCTTGTTCTGGGCCCTAAAAAACTGGATTGGTTGAAAACTATCATTTTTCTCCATGTCTAGTTGCTATAGAGCTATTTTTGCTTTCGGCACTAACCAAAAAATAAAGATGATTTGTTTAAAATCACTGCTTCTCTGTATGTGGTTGTCGTAAAAGTTTTATTTTTCTGAGCCCTAAGAGAAACTGGGTTACATAAGACTAATAAACAAGAAAACTGAAATTTATAAACGCGTACTATTATCCTTCTTTCTCGTTTCGCTTAAATACTTTATTTAGTTGTTTTTCTAGGTCTAACCTCCAAGTTAAAGCTTTCACATAAGCTTATTGATTTTGGTTAAATATCTTTGACGTTTATTTTACTACACAGATAATCAACATGTACATATGACCTTTGCCTGTTGAAGAGAAAGATTGACTTTTCTACAGAGTACTTTAAAAGAAGTTATTAGTGTCGAATGTGTTTTTTTTTTATTAGAGAAAGTCAAAATAACGAAAAGGAAAATATTCTTGGCTTCTCCTTAGCGGTTTTCTTCTTAGATGGAAATGAGTAGACATTTTTTTTCTCCTAGAAACTGCCTCAAGCCCCTATTTTATATCAAATATGATTAAATTAATAGCAATATTTATTTATTCAACAAAAATATTCGAATGATATCTAAAAGAAAATCATAGCTATTTTTTAAATAAGTGAATAAGTTAGATGAAAAATTATTCATTTAAAATAATCTAAAATCATAAATAATAAAATGGGTATGGCTGAGGTTAATTTAAAATAAAAATTATACAATTTGTAGACTTTAATCGAGTTTGTCCCCCGCTGCGTCATTTAATTACCCGTGCCGGACAGAGAGCACATAGCCCATTCTGTAGCTTTCTGCTAAAAACAAAAAGATAATCCACAACAAAAATGTGCTTAATTACGATACCATCACATAAAACTTTGTGTCATATAAGCAATTGGCCGCTGCTCTTGTCTAAAGAAATTATTTAAAATTTCAGATGCTATAAATATATTAAAAGTTTTTATATTATTCTCTACTTCTATAGACAGCAACTTTTTCTTATTTATTGAGTTTTTAAAACTCTCGGAAGCAGTCATCTCTAATATCAGTGGTGGTTATTATATATATAAAAATAGCACAGTTTATGTTCATGAGGTGTTTGGACTTAACAATCATTTTTTCTTGTGTCGCCACAGAACACATTTTTCAGCCCATCTGTATTTTTGTACAAACCCTGTATACGTTGATGAAAACAATGCAATAAAGTCATGCAAAAATATATTTTTTCTTTGAACTCTATTGCCTTGTGAACTCCTAACTATATTCTCTACTTCGGTTGTCGGAATACCACGTCTAATGTCCCTTTCTTATTGAAGTACGTGATATAATGACGTAGGTAATCTCCTCCTACTTAATTGAACTTAACCCTTATTTGATTGTTCCTTTGTTTTGAATTTCGCGCAAAGCTACACGAGGTCTAGCCGTCCCTAATTTAGCAGCGTAAGACTAGAGGGAAGGTGGCTAGTCATCATCAACCCACCACCAATTCTTGGGCTACTCTTTTACCAACGAATAGTGGAATTGACCGTCACATTATAACGTCCCCATGGCTGAAAGGGCGAGCATGTTCGGTGTGACGGGGATTGGAACCCGCGACTCGCAGATTGTGGGTCGAGCGCCCTAACCACTAGCTGCCTTCCCTCTAGTCTTTCACTGCTAAATTAGGGACGGCTAGCGCAGATATCCCTCGTGTAGGTTTGCGCGAAATTCAAACCAAACCATGTACTGTAAATGGCAAAACTGTATTAAAATGTTTCCCAAAACAAGAACATATTTTACAACAGATAATAAAATACACTCTCAGACAAATTATTATTTAACTTTCCATTTAAATAGCAAACTTTGAATTACGTTGAATTATAAATGGTAAATTTATATTGTTATACTTAGAATTCAAAGTGATTGTTAGTGAAAGTTCCAGCTATCTCTAACATCAAAAATATGTGAATCGTGTCTTTATGAAACTTTTCTCACCACTGGATAATAACTGCAGATACTCCTGTGAAATAAAAAGACTGGGTGAACGTCTTTTGCTTCAGTATAGCCCAGAATTACTAAGAAATGGGTTGTTTTCCCCGAAAACGGTCTAACACAAAGGAGGGAGTGACCCGAAACAAAAGACAGTTTAAGCATTATGTCGTCATTGTTCTCACCAAGTATTAGTTGTCTGGTGTCTTTCGATTGGTTGATCTTAAGGAAAGTTGATCCTATATTTAAGATGTCACGCACAAAATCTTTTTTGGGGCTTAAAAGATTTTTAAATCTAAATTCCCGCCACGAAAAAAAAAAAAAAATGGTTAAGTTTGTATATACTTGAGAGTAATGTCACGCAAAGCATGGTTAAATTTGTATATAACTAGGGATGATGTCACGCAAAGCTTTGGTTAAATTTGTATACATTTAAAAGTGATGTCACGCAAACTTTGGTTAAATTTGTATGTAATGAAGAACAATGTCACGCAAAGCATGGTTAAATTTGTATATAACTAGGGATGATGTCACGCAAAGCTTTGGTTAAATTTGTATATACTTAAAAGTGATGTCACGCAAAACTTTGGTTAAGTTTGTACGTAGTTAAGAACAATGTCACGCAAAGCTTTGTTTAAATGTGTATATAGTTAGGGATGAGGTCACGCAGACGTTTGGTTAAATTTGTTTATATTTAAGAATGATGTCACGCACAAATTCGGTTCAATTTTCAGTTAGGAACGACTGTTTTGCACAACACTGGTTACGTTTATTAGGATATGAATTTTAATTTTGTTTTTGTATTTTCACCTTAAAACATTTTTATTAACGGAAAAAAATCTAGTACATAAGTATTTTTCTGCATACTACCTACATCTTATGTCAAAAGTTGTCGCAAGGTGGGTTAATGGTAAATTCACAAACTTACAACGCTAAAATCCAGGGTTCGATTCCATGCTGTGGACAGAGAACAAATAGCCCATTGTGCACCCTGGTGTTAAAAACCAACCAACCA